TGGTCAGGCGTTCTGACCTACATGGTCAGACGTTCTGCCGGAAGGGTTAAGCGTTCGGACTTACATGGTCAGGCGTTCTGACCTACATGGTCAGACGTTCTGACGGAAGGGTCAAGCGTTCGGAGTTGCATGGTCAGGTATTCTAACGGAAGGGTCAAGCGTTCAAACTTTTATGGTCAGGCATTCTGACTACCGAACGACGAAACAGAAATAATAAATCAGGCGAATGACGAAATAGTGACAAGTTTAAGGCTAACCTTAAGGCTATACATGCATTCCAAATGATCCGAATAAAAACATACTTGTGAACTTTAAAATTAATGGCCTTTGGCCTCATGTTATACATACAAAATAAGCATCTTCAAGTGTTCTTAGATACACATTACACATTAATGAAGCTATCTTAGCTTCTAAAATACCATACATCCATGGTATGCAAAAATATAACATCCAAAAGTAAAGCATGCTAAACAAGTGCATGTCAATGTACAAAAATGTTCCAAATTGCTCATAAGCCTCTAAGGATGATGAGCATCTGAGAACATAGTCTCCTTACCTCTAAAATAACCCAAACAACTAGGGTGAGTAATCAAGTTACTCGTAGGAAGAAGCATATGCGTACACCTTAAAGTTTCAATATCATTAGAAGATTAATATAGACGAATACAATGGATCATTCCATTTAACGTCTATATTCAAGGTGTTCTAAGGGATCATTTTAAGCTAACTTAAATGATTCTTTAGCAACACAATATCTATATCAATGTACTTAACAACATCAAATCGCTAATAGAAAAAATTACAAGTTACAATTAAACATTGGTTGTCAATTTGGAATTGAATGCGAAATCAATTAGTGGAAAACTTGGACATCAAATTCCGGAGTAAACCAAGACCTAAATAGTTATTCCGGACATTAACCCGCTGGGAATACCATCCCTAGTGCGCACTATAAATAGGGAGAACTCGTATCTCCCGTACTAGAGCCAAACTCTAGTTATATCATTTGTAACCATGTTCCAAGAGAATCGAAAATCATAATTAAGTTCAAAACTCATACACTATAATTAAGACATATAAACCACCTTCCATGTATAAGTATTTTGAAACCACACAAACCATGTCTTTGGGTTCCATGTCTAAAATGGCATACCAAATGACAAGTCCTCATCATGATATTATGTACAATACAATACCACTAACTTATCAATTTAAATCATGCATCAACAATAAGCTTTATATACTAAATCTTAACATTTTAGAAATAAGCTTCTAAAATAATTACAATTAGTAAGCCACAAGAATATAGAATTATCATTACAATAAATATAGCAATTCAAGTCAATAAGAATTCTATATGACATCAATAATTCAACACAATATAAATACATATCATACATGCTTAAATCAATAAGTCCTAAGTCAAATGTGAGGATTTCCTATAATATGCAAGACTACAATACTAAAAGCATATACACAATATATATTAAACCCCAAAGGATCATAAAACACTTAAAGTATAAACATACTACCACTCCTACCTCAACAAAGAATTGAATCTCTATAATCCTAAGCAACCAAGCTTAAAATGGAAAACAAAACTAGGGTTTTGTAGAGGAAAGTGAGAGGAAAATTTTACTTCCGAAGGTTAAAGGTCTAAGGTGAGTGGAAGGAGGCCAAAAATGAAGAAGTAAGCTTTAAACCAAGCTTTTCCTTCAATGGAGGCTAGGTTCGGGTTGAGAGCAAAGGAAATGAAAGAGATAAAATGAATTATGGTGGGATCTAGTATTCCTCCACTCACTAGGTGTTCTTACACTACTTTTCACACACATACAATATAAGACTCAATTTGGTGCCTACACTTGTCACCAATCCATGGCTCCTTCCTAGGCTTAATCCTAAGCCTACACTTATCAACCATCCAAGCCAACAAGTGCACCAATCCTAGGCCAACAAGTGGGTGGATCTCCACCCTCCACATGTCACAAGATAAAGCTTCTAAGTGACTCCACCTCAATGCCAACAAGTGGCTCCATGAAAGTGTGACACTTGTCACACTTTCCAAAAATTGTAAAAAGGTCCTTTTCCAAAATATCTTTCAAATTAAATTGTAAAATGATCCCTAAGACGAAAAATGTTTATTTTACATAATTACACTAAAACCCCAAAAATCAAGAATGTTTCCAAGAAGATATGCATCCATTCCCTTTACGAAAAAGTAAGCAACTAACATGCTTTTCTACGAAAGTAAAAATATAGATATCATGGAAATAAAATACTATGGATGCATGCAAAGTCGGAATCAAATCCGAGCACGAAAAGTGAGGTTATGCAAGGGAAAATGATAAACGGAAAAAAGACAAAATAGGGAAAATGACGAAAAAAGAAATTACCAAAAAAGAAAGGGAGGAAAATGATCGGGTCATTACAAAAGCTCTCCAAGAGGACAAGTTTTGCTATTCAGAGAGAAATAGGGATGCCCTTAGAGAGTGAAGTGGTTAAAAGTTGAAAAGATTACTGGTTTCTGCACTTTTTCTCAACGGCAGACCGACACTTGGACCGGCCCGACCGAATTGGCTAAATAGTTATATAACTTATATCAGTCCACTGATACAACATGAGCATAAAATGCTCACTGTAATGAGCTACTGGCCAATTGATGGAACCCATTAGCCAACCAAGAAGAGAGAATTGATTATGAAGAAACCTTTGTTCCTGTTGCTAGATTAGAAGATATTATAATGGTACTTGCATTGGCATCCCATAAGAACTTCAAGCTATTTCAAATGGATGTAAAAAATGCTTTCTTAAATGACTTTATTGAAGAAGAAGTTTATGTAGAAGAACCACCATGCTTTGAAAGGTATGATAGTCCAAATCATGTGTATAAATTGTCAAAAGCTTTATATGGCTTAAAGCAAGCTCCTTGGTATGAGAGACTAAGTGGATTTATACTTAACAATGGTTTTATGAGAGGAAAAAATGACAACACTCTTTGTACTAAAACCATTGATAGCAACTTGTTGATTATCCAAATATACGTTGATGATATTATTTTTGGATCAATTAATATATGCTATATAAAGAGTTTGCTTCTACCATGCAAAATGAGTTTGAAATGAGTATGATGGGAGAACTCAACTTCTTCTTAGGGTTGCAAATCAAACAAACACTTGATGGCATTTTCATTTGCCAATCCAGATATGTTAAAGATTTGTTAAATAAATTCGGCTTGGAGGAAGCCAAACGTGATAAGGATGAGAAAGGCAAAGATGTAGATATAAATAAATATAGACGTATAATTGGTAGGCTTCTATATTTAACCGCAAGTAGACCGAACATCATGTTTAGTTTTTGCTTATGTGCTAGATTTTAATCATATCCTAAAGAATCTCATTTATGTGCACTTAAACATATTTTTTGATATTTATGTTTTACCATTAACTTAAGACTTCAGTTTCCTAAAGACACATAATTTGACCTTGTGATTATTCGGATGCCGACTTTGTCGGGTGTAGAATTGATACAAAATACACTAGTGGCACTTTTCACTTTATATGACCCTCACTTGTATCTTGGTTATGTACGAAACAAAATTCTATGGCCTTATCCACGGCGGAAGTCGAATATGTAGCGGTCAAAAGTAGTTGCGTTTAAACACTTTATATTAAGCAACAACTTGAGGATTTTGGCCTTACATTTGATCACATCCCCATTAGATGTGATAACATGAGTGCGATTTGTATTTTCAAAAACCATATACAACACTCAAGGGCCAAGCACATTGAGATTAGATACGACTTCCTTGGAGATCATGCATTGAAATGAGACTTTGAGCTCATTTTTGTAAGTACCGAGAAACAATTGGTGGATATTGTCACTAAAGCTCTCCAAGTGGACAAGTTTTGCTATTCAGAGAGAAATAGGGATGCCCTTAGAAAGTGAAGCCGTTAAAAATTGAAAAGATTACTCATTTCTGCACTTTTTCTCAATGGCCGACCGACACTTAGACCGGCCCAACCGAATTGGCTAAATAGGCCGACCAAAAGGTATATAACTTATATCAGTCCACCGATACAGCATGAGCATAAAATGCTCACTGTAATGAGCTACTGGCCTACTGATGGAACCCATTAGCTGACCGAAACTTGTATCAAGGTGTTTTTAAATAACCTAAACCCTCATTTTAGTTTTCATATCTCTTTTCCTCTTTGAATGAACTAGGTAAATAAGTAAAAATAGGAGTCGGAAAAATGCAAACCAACAAAACACATGGGATGTTACTTGGTTCACTGTTACCTACATCCATGCCTCAAGAACTCTTGAGGATTCCGCTAACTGCTACTCTTTGGGTGACAAGCAAACCACCTTTATTTATGAGCTGAAGAGTAATAGGACAACCCTCCTTGTTTTTTAGATGCCTGCCAAGGGTCGACTCCTCTTTGGGAGATTTTTGTTATTTGCCTAATCTACGGGGGTGGCAAGTGTAATTTACCTTATTTTCATACTCATTTGGGCAAACTTCTTGAAAATCTTAGAGATATTTGATAATCTTTGTTCGAAGCTGAGTTTTCATCATTATCTACATCTGTTATTCTAGAGAAGAAGCTTTAGTTGTCTATGGTGTTTTTTTTTCGAGGGATTATTGTAGTGAGTTTGAGTTGTAAAATCAGTATACTGAGTGACATCCATTATTTAGAGATTGTTAGTAAGAGGGTCGGTGTAACCCTCCAAGTCTAGGTGAGATGCTCACTTAGTAAAGAGAGAAAAGCTTGAGGAGCTTTGTAAAGATTGTTTTCTACCCGTGAAATAAAAGTTGTAAAGATTTTCTGTCCACCTGTGAAAGAGAGTGAGATGGTGGATTTGAAAATCCTCGAGAGCATCTCTTGAGGACCCAATTCACCCTTCGTATAGGTCATTGTTTGGGCAACATCTTAGGTCAAGGTTTCAAGTCTAGTCGAGAGAGAGAGAGAGAAAAAAAAAAAAAAAAAAAAAAAAAAAAAAAAAAAGATGTCTCCTACATATAAACTCGAAAATAAAATGTCAAGTCGTTACAACCCAGATTGTTTACACCAAGAAAATATCCACCTTTTCGAATATGTGACCTTCTGTGGGGTATTCTTATACATTATGACAAAAAGAGAACACAATTACCCTATAAATTAATATAACAAAAAGTTTACTAACTCTATACCTTTTAGAGAAGTTAAGGTATAGAACCTCCCAGAGACTGGAGTCACTCAATGGTGCCAGGATCCTCTCAGTGAAAAGCAACTGATAGTTTCGGTGGGGGATCCGAATTTGACATTCCATTTTCTTCAACTTGATTTGTCCTCACAATAGCCTCGCTTTCCTTTCACCATTTGGACCAGACATGCATTCAGAGCATTCTAGGTACCCAAGCTTCTGCTTTCTGCATATCCATGTATAACATTCATCACAATCAATACTGCAATTCTTATTATTTAGGTTCTTATTGCAACCCCAGAATATCATCACTACCCAACTGAACCACCAATGCCTATTGATGCGCTCGGCCTCTTGTTAGGTAGATATTGCCCAACTTGACTGATTTCCAGGAGCACGAATATGAAAAACATTTGTGGCAATTCTTCAATAACAAATGGAATGGACAGGTCCTGCTTTTCTTCTGAAATAGAGCAATGGGGCTCTCTTTGAATGAAAGCGTCATGTTGAACTTCAGGAGCAAGGGAATGAGATAGCTCTTCCTAACACGTACTTCTTGTATGACACTGGTTTGCTTCTGGAGTAGATACACTGGCCATGGCATTCTTTTTTCTTCAGCCACCAAATGCATGGAAAAAAAAAAAAAAATTAGACTTCCTGTATGATCTAAAGCATCAAATTGCAACTTGCCAAAAAAAAAAATAAAACAAAACAAAATAAAATAAAATAAAATAAATATTATAAAAATCTAAACTGAGATCACAAAAAGGCAAGCAATTCCACACAACTCAAAAAGTGAGAACAAGCAAATCCCCGGTGCATCATGCATGTGTGTGAAGGATGAGCGCTGGAGTTCATGATGTAAGAAGCTTCTAAATAAAGTTTGGTCCTGGAATGATGGTGAGAACAATGACAACTACTGAAAAATTGCTCAAGGTGTAGGTGTTGGCACCAAAACTGGAGACGTACCTTGACCCACGTATATTGAGGAACGTGTGATGCTTGGACAGCATAGAGGCCTTGGAAGGATGAAACCAAGTATGGAAAACATTTCACTTAAGCCTTTGTTTCCATTCAAATGACAAGCCAAGTAAAAAAGGCCTGAAGTGACCCTGGACAGCTTAAAGATGTATGCAGCTGTTCATTCTAGACTACGCTTAGGGGCTGGCATGAGACAGAAAATGCCCCAGCCATCTGCCATGCCACCATAATAATAATGAATAAGCAAAAAACACAAAATTAAAGTAGAAGACTTCAGACCAAATGGAAAAATTGCAAAGAGCCGCATGGTGGGCCAAGTCATGTCAAAATTCATATTACCTCAACTGACACCCAACGCTGTTCGCCAGTGCCCCATGTACTGGGACAACTTGGGCTGACATAAAGCAATCAAGGAGGAGCCCAACCTACCAATTGGAAGCAAATATCCTCATTAATGATGAGGAAGGGTTACTACCCAAATTAATCCTTTTTGGCCAAGCCTCCTTTGTTTCTCTTCTTTTTTTCTACTCCTCTCCTTCCATTTTTTTCATTTTGCCCCCCTTCTCTCTCTCTCTTCATCAGCATTTATATACCCTCTGTGTGTGTGTGTGTGTACCTACTCCTCCTCCTCCACCCATTTGTTTGCCTATCTCAAATTATATATAAGCTCGAGTGTGTGTGTGTGTGTGTCTACTCCTCCTCCCCTTTGTTAGCATGTCTCAAATTATATATAAACACGTGTATTGGAAAGGTTAAGCCCTTCTCTTTTTCTTTTGTTATTTGGCTTCATGAGGCATCTCTAGGAAAGAGAGAGTGTCTCCCTCACTTTTTGTTTGGTTAAATGGAAGGAATAGCAAAAAGGATTGACGGGGTGACAAATATTTTTTTCGTTTGGTTGGAAGGAAGGAAATGAGAGTTTTTAAATACTTTTACCAATATGCCCTCATTAATTAAGTTTATATACATTTTCATATATTTCTGAATAGGTAACATTTGAAAGAATTTATTCACTCATTTATCAATTTGTGTTCAAAATAGCAGGACCAATATGCGTTCAAAATATCTAGATTCAGAATTGAAAAATCTATGTTCAAAATATCTAGCATCTTGAACATAATAAACAATGTAAATTTTAAGAATGAAAAAATCTAGATAAAGTAAGGAGTGAAATTTGGCTATAAATACTCTAATGGGTCGCACAAATAACAAATGTAACCAAATTTAATTCATCCTAAAAGAAAGAACAATTTATTTATTTATGTGAATGAAGAATCATGACTTCTACGACACAAACAAAACAAGTATAAATGTGTACAGTCTTTTGGACTTAAATCACATTGATTGATGAGTTCTACATATTTGGGACTTGTATATAGTGTGAGTTGGTCCTTGGGGGACAATTATTTATGTGAAAGAATCCCCACTAGGATTTAAATTAATGAAAGGTTAAAAATAAGTAATTTTCTAAATAAATTAGGGTTAAAATAGGAATATACACATTAATAAATTAAACGCTCATCATTCCCTTCCTCTCTTCCGCCCAATTTTGGGCGCATACAAAATCGACGGTTTGAAGCGGTCACGAGGGATGCTTCATCCCCTGTTGCTTCCTCCCTCCCTTCCTTTCCTTCCAACCAAACAAGACAAACCTCTTTCATCCCTCCTCAATCCTTCCCTCCAAACAGGCAGGGCATAAATGTGTCGCGTTAATCAGTATAATAATTGCTAATATACTTAAATCATTGTGGACGTTTTTGTCAATACATAGTATTATTATGAAACCCAAGTATGTTGATTGTGTGATTTATTAAGATTAAATAAAAATCAGTCATTCCCTACATTTTTATTTGTTGAAGGATTTATATACTCCGTACTAAGTTACACCCTTTCTAATAGCTTAACCTTTTGGAGTAGATGGTTATTAACATTATGTAATATTTTAATTTTTTGTTCTATTTATATTTTATAATTAAGAAAAATATTAAATAGGTTATTAATTAATTAGTGTAGTTTTACCAATATATTAAACAGGTAGTTTTCATATCAAAAGTTTCTAACATGAATAATAAATTGGTCATGTTTGAGTTGACATCTATAATAGAGTATCCTTACCCTTTTTTTTATTTTTATAAGTAAGAATATATTAGAAAGCGTTCAAATGGAGAACGCGTCTTGGAAGCTATACAAGGACTGAAGCCAAAGAAGAGGTCCTAACGACCCAAGAAGCCCAAAAATTCAACAATCTCCTCTATAAAATTACAATTTCTCCTTATCACCTGACTAAAAAGAGAACTAATAATAAGAAATTTCAAAGCCCTAATGGAAGATTCCTCCTCGTCAAAAGATCTTCTATTCTGCTCCTTCCAAACGCACCACCAAACATGATAAGGGGCCGGCCCTCCAAAAATCACGAGCATGGGCTCCCATTGAATAGCCTCTCCAAGCGTTGATCAAACCCCTTGAAGATCGAGGCATAACCCAATGGATGCCGAACAAATAAAAGATAAGGCTCTAACAGTCTTGAGCAACATGGCAATGCAGGAGGTGGTGATCCACGGACTCCCCATCCCTCTTACACATACAACACCAGTTAACCATAACCTGTCTTCTCCTTCTCAGGTAATATATAGTCAAAATCTTGCCCTAAATTACAATCCAAACAAAAAAGGCAACTCTGAGCGGAGCCTTCGAATGTCAGACCGACCAGGGGAATTTAGAGCCAGAGAAGCTGGAAAGACAGTAGAGCAAGGAACGAACCTCAAACCTCCCTTGAGAAGAGGCACCCAAAAGATGGAGTCAGATCCACTACCATCCATCCCATGTCTATACGATAAATCCAAAAGTCCACAAACATCATCCAATTCCCAATCTTGGAACAATTGCCGAAATTGCACATCCCGCATGAACCTACTGCTATCAAGTCGATAATAGTCAGCAACCAAGATAGTGGCTGATCACCACCCCATGAGTCCTCCCAGAACCGAATGTCCCTACCATCCCAACCGAATCTGATATGTTTAGAAAATTTATCCCAACCCTTCCGAATGAACTTCCAAAAGCCCACACCCCTAGATGATCTGAACGAGAGGACCACCCAATTCTCTCCTCCTCAAAATGGCACGAGACAACCCTTCTCCACAGCCGATGAAGAGCACCACCGAATCTCCACAACAACTTACCTAGAAGAGCCCTATTGAAAGGGATCAACCTCCTAATGCCCAAACCACCCAACTAAATAGGCCTACACACCTGCTCCCAGCGGTTTAGATGATAATTGAACTCCTCACCCCAACCGCCCCAAAGGAAGTTCCGTCGAATTATTTCAATCTTTCCAGCAACAGAGGCTAGGATTTGGAAGAGAGAGAGAAGTAGGAAGGCCTATCCTTACCTTCACATAAATACGACCCCTTCAGCACAATAAGCCACCCCTACAATCAAGGGGTGATTCACAACATCCAACCTAGTTAGCCTTGTCATACGTGACCAATTAGCATCTCCAACAGCTTAATGAAAACTTTAAAGCCTTAATAATCACTTTTGAGTGCCCAAAGGTCATGGGTTCCCCATAGGGGATAACCAAGCAGGGAATCTCCTCAGCCTGCATAATACAGATACAAGAGGAACCTGTTTCCCAAACAAAACCCCAAGGTCAACCTTCATTGTCCCGCAATCCAACATTGGTCTCGAGACCAATGGGACCTTTTCCACATCCCATGGCAACCCAAACTAGCCCAATAGAGGGGGGAATCCCAAAATTGGCCAGATGGAGGAACATTGAATGCTCATATAATTATAAGAGTCGTGTAGTGGAGAATAACCCAAATTTCGAAAGAAATTTTACCCTTTGGGTTATTAAAATTATTCTTTTACTCTGTATCCCTTTGGTGGACACCATAGGTGGTGAGTAATTCTATCTTTTTGGTTCACTTGTGCTACCTCGTATTTCTCCATTGTTTCCGGCTTAAAGTGAGACAAATCTCTTATTACAATCACATTCACTTCTGATAGGAAACCCTAGTATTTTCTACCTTCGCCTCCTAATACTAATTTAGACATCTGCCTCTTAATACTAATTTAGACTTCTGATGAAAGAATAAAAAAATAAAAAATAAAAATAAAAATTAAAAAACCAGAGAAAAATGTAAGAAACTCACATCTATTTCACAGGACTGCTACAATTAGCTTAGGTTAGTTGAAGGGGCATTAACATAAAGACACAGGAGAAATTAAGTCAACAAATTAGAAAGCTGCACAATTGCAAAGCAATCTCCAATAGCATCAATCAAGCATGCAACACAAGCTAAAACAGCCACAAGTTGGATGAGTCAATTTAGAAAATCAAAGAGGAAAAATTTAGAGAACAAAACAATAGAAGAAGAGCAGAAATGATTTTTTATTGACTAAGAAATAAAATCCATACTAGTCAACCAAGCCAAAACAGTCTTTGCATTAATTCCTCAAAAGAGATGATAGATTTCCACAATCATCATTTTACCCCAAGTCAAGTGAAAACACAAAAGTTTGAACTTTTTTATTGACCCTTTAAGAGAAACAAATATTAATTTGTGTAAGCCAACCAAATGAACACAGATAATTTACTAATGGGAAGTTGGGGGTTGGTTGGCTTGGGTTGCGTGTGTGTGTGTGGGTGGGTAGGGGAGTGCTGACACGTTCACATTTGCCAAAAAATTCAGAAATGAGATCACAAATTGGAGGATTACCAACATTTCACAGGCTTCAAGAGCCCTTTCAACGTCAAGGAACTTGTTGACTGGCAATATGTATTCAATTACATTCTATAAGTGCAGTTTAAAAATCACATCAGCAGCAATGGAAGAAAAGGAGAAGGAGATTGGGTAAGGGGGTATGACATGATATACATAAAGCTAAGATGCACAACCAAATTAGTGACAAAAATTAATTCAGTTTTTCACTTAACATCCAGAGAAAATGAAATTTGGTAATATACGAGAACCATAATTATATTAGAAAATATATGATGAAAAAGAAAAATTGTGAAGACTGATATATAACAGAACATAATGCCCACCTCCAAGAAGCTGGATGAATTTCAATTAACTGGACAGAGACTGCATGAACCTATTCAACATGTAATCAGCAGAGGTTCATAGAAGCAAAAAGAGATGAATAATCTATTTCCTAATGAAAAATTGCTAAGAAACTCAAAGTTGGCAATTCTTGACTAGATAACAACAGTCAAAGTCAGCAAAAGCACTAACCAACCCCTCAAACTGTATCATCCAGTTAACATAGCCCCTTCACCCTAAGCAAGTATTCCAAAATCTTTAAGACAGGATTATTGCTAAGTAAGGGGATGGAAGGACTGCTTTTTCTCTTTAGCTGGGAAAGAGACACTTCTTAAATCTGTACTCCAGGCTGTTTCTACAGTTACAATGAGTTGCCTCAAGATGCCAAGAGGGGTCTGTACAAAATTAAGGAGTAAAATGTTGGATTTCTGGTAGGCAGGACCAAAGGAGGAAAGAAAATTGTGTTGGATGAAGTGGAATCACCTACGCTAAAATAAGAATGAGGATGGCCTAGGATTTTGAGACCTTGAGGCTTTTAATATAGCTCTATTATCAAAACAAGGGTGGAGATTTGAAGTTGAAGGGCAGCTCTTTGTCAAAGTTGCACAACGGCAAATATTATCCAAACTTCTCTTTCATGGAAGCTAGGGTGAGAAACAACTCAAGTTGGGCTTGGAAGAGTATATGTTCATGTAGGAAGTGATACATAGAGGTGTAAGGTGGAGGGTTGGAAAAGGTCACTCAATTAAGGTTTGAACAGACCTTTGGGTTCCTGACGTACCGGGGTTCAAAGTTATATCAACATGTCCTATAAAGGGCAATGTTCATACTGTAAGTGCTTTGGTTGATTCCCAGTCCAGAAGTTGGAATACTTGGTTTATCTCTCAAATTTGTGATCAGGAGGAGGCTGTAAAACTTCTAACCACCGCTCTGAGTGAAACCATTGCCAATGACAGAAAAGGGTGGCATTTGCCGCATTTCTCAGCTGATGGGAATTTATGGTGAAATCAGCATATCGACTTGCTTTTGAGTGGTTGCAAGGGTCCTGAAATCATATTGACTTTGGGAATAGGGTGGATGAGATTAGAGCAGTCTAAAGTTTCTTGAGTAAATTGTGGAAATTAGAGTAAAAGGCAAGTTGCTCCATTTTATATTGAGCAGTTGCTATGGCAATGGCATAGTCCCTGTTGTGGAGGATAATGTCTGTTTGAGGTGTGGCTTGGAGGTGGAATCAACTGACCACATGCTGTTGAGATGTCCGTATGCTATTAAGATATGGAAGTTGTGCCCAATTAGAGTCGAATTACCTACCTCTTCATCTTCAACCTGGCTTCAGTGGTTTTGTAGTCTGCTACATCTTCGGGAAAAGTCTAAGGTAGAGTAGAGTTACGGAGTTTGTTCGTTTATTTGTGCTGGCATACTGCATATATGGAAGAGCAGAAATAAATTTTAGTTTGAGAAAAATGAAGTTGATGAGAGGGTAGCGGTGCAGATAGCTACTGATCATTGGCATGAGTTTGAATCTGTAGTGGTTGGAGGTAATACGCTGTGTGACTGTGCCTGCTTCCGCTTCTTCCTCACAGGTAATTAGATGGAAGCAACCGCTAATGGAGTTTGTAAACTGAATTTTGGCACTGCTTTACAAGGATAGACTAAGGAAGCTGCAGCTGGTTTAGCACTTAGACATTCTACAGGTAAAATGCTAAAGGCTGTCCTTCACCTCTTCCTCATGGTAGCTTCTGCAATAGTAACTAAAGCTATGTCAAGGTTAGCTCTAAAATGAGCTCAAGCTTGGTGTTTGATTGAGGTGGTGATAGAATGAGATTGTAGTTTGATGATTAATCCCAGAAGTATTCAGTCGGGTATTGCTGCCTGTTGGAAACCCATGTTTAAAGCAGAAGCAAAAAAATAAAATAAAAAAACTGTCTCAATTGATTTTAACAAATCAATCATGATTATTAGTTTACCAAAGAGGGAAGAACTAATACGACCTTTGGACAACTGTTAGATTGTCAATATGGAGGCAAATCTTTATTCCCTCGAACAAGCTTGAATTCTTGATCTTTCTTTGGCTTCAATTCTTCTCTTGATCTTCACTCCTATGTCCTTGAATGGAATCCACAAGCAGACGAAAAGAGGGTTTCAAGTCACCTTTGAAAACTAAGGTTTTAAGGGGGAGGAGAGAGTGTGTAAAATAATACGTGAGTATTCAGTGTGTATGCATGTAGCCTAGGGCGGCCACCCATACCCCACTCTCCTAAGGAAACTATAATTTTACCTTTTTGACCTGCTGCTTGCTCTCCAAGTTAGGCTAGGAGTGGGATCAAGATAGGCTTATCCCTGTCATGGCTCCAATGAGGTAATTAAATGGCTCGCTAGCTCTTAGCCCATTTAATTAATCCATTAGTTATTTCTAAGACCACTAAATAGAAATAATTGCACTTCAAGACATGAATAAAAAGCCAACATTACTAAATATTGTAAACTAACCCCTCCATGTTAATTAGTTATTTGGGTAAATAATACTATCAATCCAATGCACTAATTAATCCATATTTTGGCCACTAGATTTATAAACCGTTTGATCACATAAATTCTTTAATGAAAATAATATAATTAATAAATAAAGAAATAAGAAAACTACCCACAGGCCTGGCGGTATCAGGCTCCAACCTCCCAAAGGGAGGTCAGGGGTTCGAGCCTTAGTGGGCATGTGTGTGTGAGTACCAACTAAGAAAAAAATAAATAAGAAAACTAGTTATTAAATAAAAATGTTCAGTTATCCTGTGATCAAACAAACCATACCAAAATATTAACACCACAAGGTTTCCATCTTGAAAAGTATTTTCAAAGCCTACAATAATAAATTACCCAATATACCCAAGCATGTTGACTCGTAGGTCAATCAAGTAAATCAAAGTAAATATTATCATAAATTAAAGTCCATAAATCGGTCAGGATTAAGAGTCTTTTTGCTTTCGTAACTAATAAGGAGTATTATTCATGATGGCTCAAGTAATTCTCAACTTATCCTTCATCCTGTTCAGCGTGTCCAACACACCAACCCATTAGGTTCCGAGTCTTACACTCAAATGACTAAGATAAGCCATTTTACAAATAGAAACCAATGTGTTACATTTTTTCTAATAGAATGCCCAGTTCTATTAACAAATGTGAACCATTAATAATTATAAATAATCGATGATTTCAATCTCCTATGCATAGTTCACTTCCATATGCACAGTAACCATCCTATCATAATTAAAGGACATTTAATTCATAACTCATGAATTAATCAATATAAGCATTCACCAATATGTAGGAAGATATAAAAATAAAATAAAATAAAAAATAAAAAAAAATCAGAGTTTATTAAGTCTGAGTGTCAAACTACAATCAATGGCTTTGTAGGGTACACACCAACTCAACACTGCCACTGTGGAGGATATTGAGTACCTGCCTCAAAGGCATACTAAGTGGAAACTTGAGTGGGTGAAAAGAACTGCAAATGGGTTGGCTCATGGTCTCGCACAATGCGCAATGCAGAGGAGAGAATGTGAATTTTTTTTTTTCCTCCTTTCATTGAAGAGCTGGCTCTTATGGATTGTAATCCTTCTTAATCGGTATCAAAGAAAGGTTTCTTTCATTGGGAAAAAAAAGAAAAAAAGAAAAGAAAAAAAGAAAGCAACATTAACACGAGGAAACTGCATTAAGAAACAAAACAAATTACGTAAAGAAGTAGAACCCTGCACAATCGCAAAGCAACCCTCCAGTAGCATCAAATCAAGCATGCAACACAAGCTAAAACCGCACACAACTTAGATGGGTAAATTTAGAAGGTCAGGGATTAAAAAACAAAACGGTAGAAGAAGAGCACTAGAGCAAAAACAATTTTTTTGTTGGCTACGAAATAAAAATCATACTAAGTCAGCCAAGCCAAAATAGTCTTGCCAATAATTCCTCAAAAGCGATAATAAATTTCCACAATCATCATTTTACCCAAATTATATAAAAACACTATAATTTTGAACTTTTTTATTGACCTTTTATAAGGAACAAATATTAATTTGTGTAAAATGGCCATGGATAATCTAATATGTGATTTTTTTTTTTTTGGGGGGGGGGGAGTGTGTGTGTGTTCTTAGAAGAGATTATAATTAATGATGCATTCATGTTTGCCAAAAACATTCAGAAATGGAGACCATACAACGTAGGATTACCAACATTAACAGGCTTCAAGAGCCATTTCATCGTCAGGGAACTGGTTGACTACAACATATATTCAATTATATTCCCTAAATGCAGTTTTTGTGCAATTTAAACATCACATCAGCAACAATGCAAGAAAAAGGGGAAGGAGATTGGATAGCGGGTATGGCATGATATACGTAGTAATTAACATGCACAACCAAATTTGTGACAAAAATTAATTCAGTTCTTCAATTACACATCCAGAGAAAATGAAAATTGTTAATACATGAGAACCATAAATATATTAGAAAGAATAGAGCTATTTAGACCGAAGACTGAAACCAAGAAGTGTCGAGGGGCTTTCATCCCTTGGATGCATTGGATGGGAATAATTATTCTATTTGAAAATATATGATGAAAAAAAGGAATCTTGAAGACTGATATATAACAGAACATAATGCCCAGCTCCAAGGAAGCAGGACAAACATTCAATTAACTAGACAGCGACTGCACAAACGTATTCAACATATAACGAAACAACAAATAGATTGGAGCCCATCAGAGTTTCATAGGAGAGAAATAAAATAAATAACTTATTTTGCAATTGCTAAGAAATTCAAAGTTAGCAAGTCCTGACTAGATAAAAACAGTCAGAGTCAGCGAAAGCACTAAACCAACCCCTCAAACTGTAGCATCCAGTTAATATAGCCTCTTCACACTAAGTAACAACATTTAACTTAATAGCCCCCCTAAAACCAAAAGATGAAAATATATATATATATATATATATTCTAAATCGCAAAATACTTACCAATTTCTGAACCTTTGCAGCATGGTCATTAGCAAGACGCCAAGAACAAACAAATCTCGCAGGCAGTTATACATAGACATATATAAAACCTGCAAGCAGATCAAATTTAACAAATGTCAATCCCTTCACATTGAGATTAGCTCCAGTGGGAACACAGACAACAAAATGAAAAGAAGGGGGAAAAAAAAAAGACGTTATCACATTGAGCATCAATGTATGTATCGATTGATGAAGCAAGCAGTGCTAAAAAAAGTGCTTGGAGAGAACCAAGTTTATAATGAAAAACAAACAATTTCAATTTCAATTTCAACAGCAAAATGAAATAAACACATCCATCCCTTGAAGCAATCTAAGGGGAATATACTTATATATGGGTAGCTCAAAAAATTCAGGCATATCTGAATTGAGCATTTCAAAAATATATTGTATCATGTGGGTATGTCTCATGTACATGGCACCTTAACAAAGACACGTTTTATCTCCACACCTGCCGCAGGGTGGCAGCTTACAGGGCATCAATACTAACATTACCTCCTTGCTTATTTTATATGCCTCAACTCTAATAGTTCAGGTGGCAGCTTACTGGGAATTACCACCATAATGGCTAGTTTTTTTGCTATTGATATTTGTCTTCCCAATGGCAGTTATTAAATAATGGCAAACTCATGACTTAAGCACGAGACGAACCGGATGCTTCTTTTGGGGGCTGTTAGAAACTGAGAATGTGTGTGAGCTTGTTGGGAACACATAAAAGTTGTTTATCCATCCTCCCAGTTTACTCCCAATTTGCAGTTCATAAGATGCATGCCTTTGATAATAGGGTTTGTCCAACCAGCCAATACTAAAAGAATAAATGTGAATATGAACAAATTGTAGAATGCTGAAAGCCCATTCAACAATAAAATGAAATTTTGAGCTGTCCACATTTGTAATTGATTTTATTGCTTCATTGACAACTCTACAGCCATTATTAGCAGATTTCTAAAACATCAGGCACGTCATTGCTTGGAACTAGGCTCAAACCAAAATCTTTATCCCATCCCTTTATCTGCACTTTATAATCGGGTTTACCCCATAGTACATGCTCACATAAAAAATGTTTAAAATCCAAAAAGCAATGGGAAGTAAACTAGAATCACAATAGCAAATACTATATTCCATAAGGCAGCCATTAATTTCTAGTTTTACAAACTCTCATTAAAATAACTCCATAGACATTGAACAAGACGTACACATGAAGAAACTTACAGGAGAGTCAAGATGGAACTAAAGCATAAATGAAATTTTCTTCAAGTTCAATATAATATGAAGATGTTAAAAAACCTTTCAACTCATATAAAAATACAAAAGAAGCAATCATTGTGCTGTCTACACTTGTAAGTGAATTAGTTGATTCTATAGGCATCTTACAATATCAAACACATCATTGCCCTATACAGTTAAGATTATATGTTCTACTGCAAGCGGATTTGTGGTATCCCCGCAAACCTTTTCAGAAGCAGCAACCTGTCAAATAAAAATCCAAGTGTGAGTAACAGTACAATATTGAGTAATACTACATTCTTAAGGTCATAATGAACTGCAGTTAGATAAAACTAAAAGAGTCTAGCCCATTGCCCCATTGCACGAGGCTCACGCCATTGCGGGGACTGGGAGAGTCATGTGGAGAGACTGTTTCTGTGTTTCTGTTTCAAACATGTGAGAGTTACAATGGAGTAACCTCACCATAGTGCCAAAGACACCCTCAAATAAAACCACCAAAAAACAAAATTGGAAAAAGAAAAAGATTGACACTATGAACTTACAGCTGCTTCTTTAGATGCCATCACCACAAGTGCTAAACCTCTTTTCCTTGAACTCTTGGCCACATCTTCAACCTTACCGAACTTTTCAAACAACTCCTTCAATCTTTCAACGCTATAATCACCACCACATATCTTCCATGACACCTTGAGCATCTTCCCTTGATCTATACTAAACCCAGAATCATACCCATAACCCATATTCTCCTTTCCTCCTTCAGTAGGATATCCTTTGGGTTGCATCCGAAATACGGGTCCACTGCCATACATTGAACTAATTCTCGCACTCTCTTCTTTAAGCTCCTTATGGATTCTTTCATCTTCCTTTTCTTGAGCTTCGGGTCCACTGTCATACATCGCATGACATCTCGCCATCTCTGCTTTGATCTCCTTGTGGATTCTTTCATCTTCCTTTTTTTGAGCTTTTCTAGTGAAATCAGCTTTCTCCCTCTCTCGAAGATCAGACATCGTCTTCCTACGCTTCGAATCGTTTTGTGATCGTCGTTCAACATTGATTTGATGAACATCATCAAATTGCTTCCGAGATTTTTCATTCCTGAGAATCTCGTACGAGGATTTGAGTCTGTGGAATTGGGTATGAGAATTGGGATCACCGGGTCTCTTGTCTGGGTGGAGTTCCAACGCCTTCAACTTGTAGGCTTTGGATATTTGCTTCACCGAAAGTTTCGCTCCTTCTTCGCCGGAAGGCAAGCCTAAAACCCTATAATGATCAATACCCATATCCAAAACTTCAAGAAATCAGCGGTAATGGAAGGGGGTAATGAAGATTTGGCCGATTTGGCTTGCAATTTCAAGTGTTGAAGAAAAAGCGCAAAGAGAAATTTACAGTTTTGACGTGTACGATGTGGGGAGGGTGGGCATCGTAGAGAGAGAAGAAAGGAGAGAGAGCTGCTGCGGAGGCTTCGATGTCTTGCATATAAAAAGAAGCGAGTATTTACGAGAGCAGTCTATTGGTATTTGGTATGTCAAATTAAGATGTCCGCATACGAAAAATAAATAAATAAAATTTAAGATGTCATCAGGGGTTTGAATGAAAAAACATTTTTTTATTAGTTCTATTTTTATTTTATTTTTTATGTTTAATTTTAAATTTTATCAACATTTTTGCTATCGTAGTTATTAAATACTTGATTATACTAAATATATATAGATATATATATTTTATCTTAAATTTATTCAAGTTTAAATTATTTTTCTTTAAAAAATTTTGTATGTCAAAATAGTCCGAATCCGCCAAGAATGCAACGGAATCAAATTTTAAAAAGTGTATTTATTGATTTGATGGAGTTTGGAAAATAATTACTCCGTCTCGAACCCACCTAATTAACATTTTATTAAAAAAATAGTAAAAAAATAAAATAAATTATCCTACTTAAACTTGCAAAATAGTTACTCCGTCTCGAACCCACCTATTGTTTTTTATAAGGACAATAGAAAAACATTGGATCTACTCTAGCTTGAAAATTAAAACCCTTAACATATATCTGTTAATTCAATTAAAATATACGATAATGTATGTGTAATATTCCTAATTTTTAGAGTATATAATTTATTATTTTAATTGTATTTTAGTTATTTTATTTGGCACAATCTAGCCAGCATCACTTGCATTCATATCAAGTATATCTTCCACATTATGCAGAATCTCAAAGGTATTAGATGTGGTTACCATAGTACAAGCTCTCCAAGGCATAGATACACATTCTCACACTCAATGAGTTTTTACCTTTCCGCTTGACAACCCATTTGTCCAGAGTCTTTTTGGCTTTTGCTTGCAAGACCTTTTGAGGACACCTATCTGCTAAATGATCAACAAGTTGACACAGAGTGCAAAGCTGGGGCTTCCATTCATACTCAAAATTAACAGTACAATCACAACCATGTATATCGACCACCATGGAATCTGGCAACTCAGCTTTGACATCAACCTATATTCGTAACCAAACTGGGACTGATTCTAGTACCTCCTTGACCAGATTAACGTTTTTACACCATCTCTTGAGCATAGTAGGCCTGCCCTCGAACGTGTGAATCCATGACAGAACTGTTTTTGCATATTCATCATTCTGAAAACTTACCATGAAGAAACCATCCTTAAGATAAACTAATGTAAAATGGTGGTAGTATAGTTTTAATATGGTCACATACCCCACCACAGAAGATTTCCCAATACTGAATCTCATCGGCAACGTCCTCTTCGGATATCATCACCTTCGTCTCACGTATGTTGCTATGATACTGCAAGTTCTTGAAATATGATGCAGAATCATCCAAGAAACGGCACCATAAGACTTTTGGGGGACTTACGCCGGCCTGGAGACCCCGCCGGCAGGTTAGGGGAGGATGACTAACCCTCTTCCATGGCTAAACCATCCCCTTTCAAGCCACCCAAGTTGCATGCAAAAACCCTAACCCTAGTCGCCCTTGAGTCGCTCTTAGCCATCCTCCACCATCTGAAAACCAAGAATCAAAAGACACGTTGTAATTGAGTTTTAACACTATTTGGATATTCAATAAAGAAAAAAAACTCATTCATTTGCATACACTCATTTATTGGGTCATTTATAATGAAAGTATATTTGGTTAGGGCGAGTCTTGACGCAACCGTAAGGTTGCTTCATTGAGACCTGGAGGTTTTTAAGTTCAAAACAAAAAAACATTCGCTAAAGAGTTGATTGAGACTATGTATGTCTGATCTCCCTGAATCCCACAATGACAAGAGGTCCATCATTTACAAGCATAAAATGTTAGTATATTACAAACGATTCAAATTCTCATATACAAGAGACAGAGAGTCGCCACACCCCAAAGCTGTTCTAATAGGGGTGGGATAATTTGTCACACCAATATTTGTCACCCTATTGGTGATAACTGAGAACTAACTATAGAAAGGGCTGTTTTGGTAATTAGGCATGTAGAGGGGCATTTCGATCTTCACAAAACACTTCTATCCGTTGAATGTTCATTTCTGTGTTTTAAGTCAATGACAACATCCAAAATCTGCTAGTTTGATGTTCCCAGATGAGCCCAAGAGCACATCCTTGGCACTTGAGGTCACATTGCACAATGCCATTCTTGTGGAGATACTTGAGACCTTGAAGAATCTCCTTGGTGTACAAACGAATCAGTCTCTCATCTAACACCCCACCAAAAGATCGAGTCACTGTTCACCACGCATCCTTTCCTATGCACGGGACCATGTAAGGGCAACTCAAGTTCTCGGGGATGTTATCCTCATTTTTTAGAAACATAGGCACCAATTGTTTGGAAGTAAACTAATGTTTAAAAAAATATTTTTTTAATTTTTTGGTATTTATTTGTTGAAAAATATTTACCAAAAAAAAAATTTAAAACATAACAAAAATAATTTATACATTAATTTTTGACAAGTAATTTTATACGCCCTACTCGATGAACTCGATCTCAACCTAGACCTTTGTTAAATACAGAAAAATAAAAATAAAAAAATATTTTACTTGAAAAAAAAAAAAAAAATTCCCGATGAAGATATTTTACGTTGAACCAAACGAAACCTTTAGTGGCTTTGCCCATGGCCAAATGGGCAGTTCAGCAATTCTTCCCAACAAAATCCATCCCTTTCATTTCTCAAAACTTCAGGAGCCATCCACAAAGGTGTCCGCGCATTAAGTGTTTAAATGCTCATTTAAGTGTTTTAAGTTGATAACACGTCCAAAATATGCTAGTTTGATGTTCCCAGAGCCCAAGAGTACATCCTTGGCACTTGAGCACATCCTTTCCAACGAAGGACAACTCAAGTTCTCAAGGATGAGAAACTTAGGCTCCATTTGTTTGGATGTAAATTAATTTTTAGAAAATAATTTTTAATTTTTTAGTGTTTATTTGTCCTAAAATATTTACAAAGAAAAAAAATAATAAAACTTAAACAAAAATAACTTATCCATCAATTTTCGACAACTTATTTTATATGTCCCACCTGATAGATTCAATTTCAATCTCAACCTAGACTTTTGCTCAATACCGAAAAAAAAAAATAAAATATTTTTCTAAAAAAGAAAAAAAAAATTTGGAAAGATATCTTACTTCAAAACGAAACGAAGATTTTTAATTCCTGCTAGTACACCAGTGGTTTTGTCCATGGCCACATGGACAGTGCCAAATGATCGAGATCCAACAAGTTTTCCTTCACCAATTCGCCGGGCTGTGGAGACGAGCACTGGCCATGACCAACCATATCTTTATCTTCTTTGAATTACCAATAAATTGGGTGTATAAAACTGTTTGAACTTTGAAGTCAATCTTAATTGGGTTTGAGAACCCAATTCATAATCTGAAACTTTTATTCATATAAATGCATATAAATATAAGATTTCCCCCCTCAATATAGTTCCAAACTGAATATGAAATAATGTAGAAAAAAAAAAAAAAAAAAAAAAAAAAAAAAGAAAGAGAACTGGGAAATAGCTACAAGAAGGAAAAAAAACTAGGTTGGTCTTAAGCACCAAGATTTGAAAGAATGTGATCTGGTTACAACTTCCTCTTAATAGGCGAGATCTCACCAGAACCAACAAAAACAGGAGATATAGAACTCATGTGATTTCAAAAAACCCAAAAACAAAATATTTGTTTTGCTAAATTACCAAGATAATATATGCAAATTCCAGGGAGAATAGCGGTTTCCTGTTAAAAACAGCCCCGGTGAAGAAAACACCCTGTTTTTATACGCAGTTGTCGATGATGATGATGTTTTTTAAGTTTCCTGTTAAAAACGGCCCCGGTGAAAAAATCAATTTGAATTGAACTCTTGACCCCCAAATGTATGGTGCCTGGTTCAGCGAAATGGCATTCAAAAAGGGTTCCTACTAGGCTACTCCAGACGATCCTTAAGAAATATTTAATCCATCATACATACATTTCAATATTCAAATAGTTTGGTTAAATAAAATTTTCTTACACGCAGTTTTTCAAGTTTTTATTTTTATTTTGAATGATGAACCAACACGCAGTTTCTCAAGTTTTTATTTTTATTTTTATTTTGAATGATGAACCAACATCATGTACGGTATTTGATTTTTCCCATCTTGGAAATTCAAATTTTTGATAGATAGAAACTTCTCTCATAATCACCTTCTTCTACAAGTATAGTCATGAATAACCTGCAAAAGACTTCTCGAACGTTCCTCTTCCGGCAGCTTAAGAAGGTGAGCAACTCTTGAGAATCCAGCATGGTGCCTGAACAAAGAATCTTCCTTTACTTCTGGCTTCATCTCCTGCTTGCAAAGTTTTGGTTGCGTTAATGCCCATTGCATTGCCCATATGGCCAGAGGGCGCATGTAGCATAGAGATCTGTACTGGTCATCCGTGTTCCAACCCTCTGGAGTTTGAAATGAATACCTGTATGAGAAACAACAATACTTTAATGAGCAATCATAAGGAAATTCTGGGGAAAAAAAGAAACTTATGCATTAGTGTCCCAAATGTGAATAGTTCAAGTACTTAAAACACATAACTAGGTTTATTCTTTATAAAACAGATTTTAATTAGATCATCCCAGCTACAAAGTTTGTTTTCGTCCATAATCAACGCAGCTGAGTGTTCAATTTGCATCCACCTATTTGGTTTTCTCAGATCAACTTTATGTACCGAGGATCCCAATTTTCATTTTTCATTCCTTTCTTCAATTTTTTTTTTCTTCTTTGGTAGGTATTGAGATCCCAGGTATGACATTATAATATGATTGGAGACAAGCGTCGGTAAGACATTATATGTATTTGAAATCAGACCTTGCACTAGATAATAGCCCCTGCCAATTCCATGGTTTCATGAGCGTGGTAGGAAAAATAGAGAATGAGAGGTTAGAAGTTCATCTAATTTAAGCATGACCCAATTTATCAATGTAAAAAGTTTAATTGTTTCTCTCTATCTAGGAAAGATTCAGCATAATTAAAGTACTTGAAAAAGGAGTAACGAGGTATAACCAAGAATCATTTTTCCTTGTTTTCCTGTACATTGTTATTTCTCATCTTACAGAAGAACCTCAAGATCACAGGCATAAGTAGTTCGACTTAAATTCCAGTTTTTGTCAGATATTTGAGAACTGAAGAAGTTGAGAAATTGCAGATTTCTATATAACAAGCTGACTGATCCATAGAATACCATGCAGTAACAAAGGTCAGCACCTGTGAATTAACAGATTTGATGTACAGGCACATTAAAATGTGAATATACTGACACAACAAATCATAAAAGAATTAGGACAGGAAAACCAAGAAAACATGAGAATCTACGACTTAAAATGTTTATAAGTAATCAACATACATATATTTGATGAATTTTCTAAAATGTTTGCACTAAGAATGGCAAATATAGAAGATGATGCTTGACAAAAATTTTGAAGATTCGTGATACTATTCTCTTACTATATTTTTGTCTTTATAACTACAGCCTTGTCCCTAGATTAAGAGGTGTCCATAGCATGCTTGACCTATGGTAGACGTGCAGTCTCAAATTTTCTTAAAAGAAGTAAGTTGGCCAGTTTGTGGTGTGTTCTACTTGTTCCTAAGAGTTTCATACAGGACTCATATTATGATGTATTATGTTACATAAATCATTAATAAGGGAGTGTCTAACAAGGGTCCGAGATAACAAAATTTATTTTTCAATTATGCACATGTCATAAAGGTGTTACACACGTATCTAGGGGATTGTTCATAAAGTGACAGAGTGCGACATCGACAAAACCTTCGTTTAAAAGTGTCCATGTGTCTTAGAAGCCAATAAAAAAGGATGTCAACTTCTATTGGTTTACCATCTACAGTATCTAAATCAAGAAGTAAAAATCAGTTAAGCCTCCAAGCATATTTAAGTTGAAGAACATTCTCCCCACTGTTGCATTCCCTAGCAAGTGTTTGTTATCAACTTCAAGAAAATTGTTTTAAAAAGGAGAAAAGAAAGAAAGAAAAAGGTTTCAAAGTCTCTATGATGTAGATTCTGGCTTTTAACGTATGTGAATTTCATGAATGAAATTTCTTCGAGGGTAGATGAAATGATCACCAAATTTAATAATGATCACAAAGGATAAAATGACAAATAAATAACAAAGTCAAATAATAACAATAAGAATGGAATGAGGACCTAAACACGAATAATAAAAACTAGTAAAATATAACCGATACATGTTACCAAATAATCTGAACATTGTGTGTGAATTGTATATAACTCTATGCATATATATACAAACACACATATGGTGTATACAACTAAATTAGCAATCATGTATGCATATACATAAAAATTCAGGTCAGTAAGTTAGGATTTATGAAGAGCACTGATCTTATGAGTAAAGCTAACAAGGAAAGATCCAATGTTGATATAGCCTTGATATTAGCTTGTATATTTTCATATATTCTGTTGCATATGTTTAGGCTTAATTATAGGCTATGTCAGATAGGTCCCTCAGATTTTGGGTTAACATTAGCTTGTATATATGCATATATTTTGCTACATATGTTTAGGCTTAGTTTACATTTAGCTTTAGATTTAGGCTTGCTTTTTATGTAACACACATATACATACCTCTATTGGGATGAATACAATGGCTGAATTTTCCCAATTCTTTTAACCCTCACATGATATCAGAGGGTCTCATGACCCTATAGTCTCTTCCACTTCTTTTTTTCTTTCTGTTCTCTGCTCCACCATGAGATCCCTCCGGCATGTCCTTTGTATTGAGGTGATTCCAGCTTCACTGTTATCATGTCATGTCTTCCTCTTCTAGCACCTCCAGCTCTACGGACTCTGCAACATCTACACCAATAACCTTTACGGTGTTGTGTCCCTCATTCTTAGTCCCTAACATCACCAATTTGGTGATTGTGAAGTTGACTGACCCAAACTATCTCCTTTGGTGATCTGAGGTCAATCCCTTTTTGGTTGGCAATAATTTTTCGCATTTTGCTGATGGCTCTTATCCTGCACTCTCCGAATTCCTCTTGATGACTGTTGGCAAACTCGGAGTACCAAGCCCAGATTACTTAACTTGGCTTCACAGTGATCAGACACTCGTCTTCTCAATGCCACCTTCTCTGAGCCTATCCTGGGAATGGTTGTTGCTCTCTACACTTTACGAGATCTTTGGACCTGCCTTGAGGGAAACTTCTCCCAGCAATATGTTGATCATGCTTCTACACTTCGATTTCTTCTCCTGTCTCTTAACAAGAACTGCTGAAAGGACCAGTAACTCCAATGGGACAGATCCAGCCCAACCCAGTCATTTCAGAAAAGCATTCAGCGATCTTGAGGCCAAAGCACGTCCATATAAAAACAAACCACCACATGGAATGACCCAGAAAGAAAGTCCAGCCCATCAAGCTCCAACTTGGAAGCCAAGAAAGGAATTTAGGGCAATATGAACCTACTATAAATAGAAGTAGGAGAAAGGAAAAGAGATAGAATGTTTGGAGTGTAAGAAAAACTTTCCATAATAGAAAAGAAAATTTCTTGAATCTTCATTTGGCGCCGTCTACGGGAAACGAAGAGAGAGATCTATCGATTTTAACACTGAAACCATGATACAGCACAGATCGGGAACCATGATTGGAGGAAACTCCTGTCAACAAGATGAGAACGAGCGATTCAGGCATGACGAGCTGATGCTGATCACCGAGACTCTACGATGAGAGAACACTGAGCTTAGATCCAGGATGGAGCGAAGGGAAATACCACCACCCCCTCGTCCGCCGATGGAGAATGAGAGGGTGGAGGCGACAAATGTCAACCGATGGGCAGAAACAGCAGGTTCCATCCATGTGGACCCACAACACAAGAGGCCAGGGCTGGAAGACGAAATGGAACGTGTCGAGGTTATTCCTTCATGGCCGAAAGAATCAACTGCAGACAAGCTGTTCGACGAAATGCACCAGTCAGATGTGAGTACTCACCGAAAAGCAGCAACACGACCGAAAAACGCCCCCAATGAACAACGAGGTTGTTCGAACGTCAGCTCAGACGATCAATTCGCCCTTCACAGAAAAGATCCTCCGATCTCCAAAACCGAGGAAGTTCTCGATGCTGACATTTACTCTATTTGATGAGACTAAAGACCCAACCGAACATATATACTAGTTCGAGCTAAAAATGGCCATGGACACTAAAGATGATGTCCTGATGTGCAAGGTCTTTCCAACGAGCCTTACCTGACCGGCGCTCAACTGGTTAAAGCATCTGCCAAAGGGTTCGGTGGGGAGTTTCCAAGTGCTCTACGATATGTTCATAGGTCAGTACTATGGTAGCCGGTGAATCGAGGACATATCCTGTCTGTTCACTATGCGACAATAGGAAGGCGAGCGCCTCCAGGCTTTCCTCACCAGATTTAATTTGAAGATGAGCATAGTGATTGACTGCTATCCATCCTAGGTGCGGGCATTCAAGCTGGTTATGGTTAGAGGGACCGAGTTTCACACATCTTTGGTGGTGAGGTCACCTAAAACTATGGATGAGCTAATTCGAGGGCATAAGGCTACGTACAACTAGAGGAGGATGAAGCAGTCAATACAAAGAAGACAACGATGGTCACAGGGGAGAACAAATGAAAAGCCAAAACGACCACCCAGAGGACTCCAATAGCACATTCACGAGTGGTTCCTTAGAAGGTTGAGAAAAGGCAGCGGGAAGACGAGACAATCAACCCCCTTAGAGTTACCCTGGCGTGACTGCACTAAAAGAATAAAGGAATGTTCCGTTTGCCTAGCCGATCAGGCAACCGCTTGAGCAGAGGACCAGTTAAAGCATTGCGCGTTCTACAATGATTTTGGGCACCAAACATATGAGTGCAAAAACCTGAGGAGGCAGGTTGAAATGCTGATTGCGAAGGGGGAGTTGGCCAATTATGTACAAGCCAAGGAGCAGAACCGCCCGGCCGAGCAGGCAAGGTGAACCCTCAAGAAGGAGAGCCAGTCCGGGTCATTAATGCCATACATGGCCGACCGAAAGCCGAGGATGAATTAGAAGAACTACAGTGAACACGCCTTCGGCAAACTCACAAGATGAGAAGCTTGGAAGCGTCAATACAGTCCACTAAGAGGCAACATAGTTTTGATTAGATTCTATAGAACTAATCTTCATAGGGTTCAAACTCCGCATGAAGAGCCATTGGTGATTTGCTTGATGGTGTCAAACTGCTTGATCAAGAGAGTTTTAGTAGACCCAGAAAGTAGCGCCAACATCATAACGAAGGTGGCGTTCGAACAGTTGATGGTGGACCCGAAGCAAATCAAGCCCATGGGAACCCTTTGGTAGGTTTTGATGGAAAGCGAGTAGAACCTATTGGAGTGGTTGAGCAGCCAGTATGCGTTACACGAAGGAACTTAAAGGAGAATTTTGTTATAGTGGACGTTCACCATTCTTACAACCTCGGAGGGTGGATCCACCGAGTCCAAGGTGTCCCATTCAACTTGCACCAGGTCACGAGATGCTTGAGTTGGAACGAGGTGATTGACATCCATGGTGACCAAGTAGTAGTAAAGGAATGCTATGTGGTAACACTTATAGCCAGTGGGAAGGGCAAGCCCAAAATAGCAATTACAAAGCCTTTCGCTCGGAAAGGTCAAGATCAGGACGGAGGAGCCAGTCCTTACGATGGAATCACTAGAAGAAGTGTAGATCGACCCCCGATACATGGGAGAACTGCGAAGATTGGGCAATGCATACCGCAGAGGAAAATCAGCTACTGATTGAAAACCTAACCAGAAACTTAGACATATTCGCTTGGAGTCACTTAGACATGCCAGGAGTCAGCCCGTCCCTTCGTGCCATTACCTGAATGTTGATTCACATTTTAAACCCATTCAGCAGAAGCAGAGGAGGTTTGTGCCAGAGCGAAATAAGAAGAGGTGGACAGACTACTGGAAGCAAGATTCATAGGAGAAATGCAATACCCCTCCTAGTTATCCAACGTGGTGGTCGTCTAAAAGAAGAATGAAAAATGGAGAGTCTACATTGATTTCACAAACTTAAATAAGGCTTGTCCCAATGACAATTTTCCCTTACCAAAAATTGACCAAATGGTAGACGCAACCACTGGGTATGAACGCTTGACCTTCTTAGATGCGTATTCAGGTTATAATCAAATCCCCATGCATCCAAACGATGACGAGAAAACATCTTTAGTGACGGAACGAGGGATTTATTGCTACAAGGTGATGCCATTCGGCCTAAAGAATGCAAGAGCCACATACTAGAGATTGGTGAGCAAAGTTTTTAGAGACCAAATAGGCAAAAATTGTGGAGGCATGCATTGATGACATGGTGGTAATAAGTAAGAGGGAGAGTCACTTCATACACTTACAAGAAGTATTCGACACATTGCGAAAGCACGGCATGAGGTTAAACCCCTCCAAATGTTCGTTCGGAGTTGGCTACGGATAGTTGTTTGGGCATATTGTCAATAACCAGGAATCGAAGTAAGCCCTACCTAGGCCGAAGCATTAATACAAAGCGAGGAGCCAAGGACCCTCAAAGAAGTCCAGACTCTCATAGGAAGAATAGCTGCACTTAGCAGGTTCATCTTAAGGCTGTCAGATCGATACAAGCCGTTCTTCGACACAATTAGAAGTAACGGACGGCAAACCTGGGGGAGTGAACAACAACAAGTGTTGTCTAAACTGAAGGAATACATGCAGAATCCACCAATCCTCTCCGACCTAAGGTAGGATGAATGATTGTATTTTTATCTCGCGGTATCAAAATCTCCAACAAGTGTCGCGCGTGGTCAGAGTGGAAGAAGGGAAGCAATACCCTGAATTTTACATAAGCAAAACAATGGCTGACCTCGAGAAAAGGTATTCAAAGGCAGAGTGAGTTATACTAGTGCTGGTGCATGCCAAATGGAAGCTCTACCAATATTTTGAGTCCTATCCGATTGTGGTCCCCACGACTCATCCGATCAAAGTCATCTTACACAAGCTTGATCTATCAGGTTGAATCACCAAATGGGCAATCGAGTTGAGTTCATTCGACATCACATTTGAGCTCTAAACGACCATAAAAGGTCAGGTAGTAGCTGGTTTCCTATTGGAATGTAAGGCAAAAGATGTAAAAGAATTAATGGAGGAACCACAATGGAAGCTTTATGTTGACGGATTGTCAAACCAAATGGGGTCGAACTACAGACTCCCGAGGGCACAAGCTTGCGCCAGGCAATTAAGCTCGAATTTGAGGCAACAAACAATGAAGCATCATATGAAGCACTGCTAGCTGGATTGAGGCTAGCCCTCAAAGTTAAAAATCTATGTGTCTTTAGTGACTCACAGCTGATCGTGATGCAAGTGCTAAGGGAGTACAGCACCAAGGGTAGCACGATGGAGGCCTACCATTCTGTTGTCGAACGAGAAGTGAAAGGATTCGACCAGGTCAAATTCACATAGATACAAAGAGAAGAGAACCTTGAAGCCGATTGGCTCACTTATAATGCATCCAGTTCAAGCGAAACATTGACTAGGGTAATATCGGTAGACGTGTTACACCAGCCATCCATCCTTGAAGCACTATCTAGCCCAGATCATCTGCAGGTGTGTGTAATACCGTATGAGTTTGGCTAGATTAACCTGATCATGTCATACATAAGGGATGGTGTGTTGCCTGAACAGAGAGATGAGGCCAGGAAAATCCAAACCAACGCAGCAAAGTATGCAATCCTTCACAACCAGCTCTATCGAAGATCCTTTTCAAGCCCCTATTTAAAATGCATCACCACGTCAGAAGCCAAGCAAGTCCTACGCACAATTCATGAAGAGGTGTGCGGTAATCACACGGGGGCAGATCCTTGGCGCACAAAGCCATGACCCAAGGCTATTTTTGGCCACACATGTCACGAGATGCAGAAGAATACTTTAAAAGATGTGACAAATGCCAAAGGACGGACCGTTGATACACCAACCACCTGAAAATCTGCACATAATGGCCAACCCATGGCCTTTCGCGCAATGGGGGATGGATGCGGTTAAACCGCTGCCAAAGGCGAGATCACAAAACAAGTAAGTCCTGCTCGCAACAGACTACTTCACCAAGTGGGTAGAAGCGAAACCCTATCCTAGCATAACACACAAGTGAGGCGCTTTTTATGGAACAACATAATTTGTTGGTTTGGAGTTCCCAGGTCATGGATAACAGTAAGAATTTGGACAATCGACATATAAGGAAGCTGCTAGACGAGCATGGGATCAATCAGAAGCTTGCTGCGGTAAGTCATCCACAAGGAAATGGATAGGTTGAAATCACAAACAGAACTATTTTCAATTGCATAAAGAAAAAACTGGAGGGCAAGAAGGCGAATGGCTAGACGAACTCCCGAACGTCCTATGGGCTTACCGAACACCCCAAGAAGACCAATTGGTGAAAGTTCATTCGCTATGGCATATGGCACGGAAGCCATGCTACCGACCAAGCAAGCAATACCAATTGCACGAAGCATAGCATAGAACCAAGAAGAGAACAACAAAATGCTAGAGCTTAACCTCGACCTGCTAGAGGAAAGAAGGGATTAGGCAGTAATCAGGCTTGCTTCATACCAGTAAACACTCATGAATAGTCACAATAAGAGGGTAAGGCATAGAAGCTTTGCCCTCAGTGAACTAGTATTAAAAAGGGTAGTGGGCATTGTCTCAAAAATGATGTCCCCGGGGGAAGGGCCATATAGAATCACAAAAGTCATAGGAAAGGGGCATACAGGCTGGAAACGTTAGCCGGAAGGCAAATTGACAAGCCGTGGAATGCAAACTATCTGAAGAGGTACTATCAGTAGAATAACACTATCATTTGGTTTTAATTTTGTTTGTTTTATTCCTTATGTATTCACATAATCTGCATGAATGTAAGTCGACCGAAAGACGATCGCTATAATCTATGAAAGAGAAAGGGGAGAGGAACATTGTTGAAGGAAAGAAACCTACTAAGTTGTTTATACATAATGACTGAAAAGTCAGTTGCAAATGGCGTTATTTGCCTATCGCCAAACACTTGTGAAAATTTATAAAAAGTTTGTGGCAAGTGACACTATTTGCTGAACGCTAAGCATTTGACCAAATTAGTGGCAAATGGCACTACTGGCCAATCGCCAAACGCTTGTGAAAATTTATAAAAAGTTAGTGGCAAGTGGCATTATTTGTCGAACGCCAAGCATTTGACCAAGTTAGTGGCAAATGGCACCACTGATCGCTGAACACTTGTGACAATTTATAAAAAGTTAGTGGCAAGTGGCACTATTTGTTGAACGCTAAGCATTTGACCAAGTATGTGGCAAATGGCATTATTTGCCTATCGCCAAACACTTGTGAAAATTAATAAAAAGTTAGTGGCAAGTGGCACTATTTGCCGAACGTCAAGCATTTGACAAAGTTAGTGGCAAATGACACTACTGGCCGATCGCCAAACACTTGTGAAAATTTATAAAATCTTAGTGGCAAGTGGCTTTATTTGCCGAACGCCAAGCATTTGACCAAGTCAATGACAAATGGCATTATTTGCCGATCGCCAAACACTCATGAAAATTTGTTAAAGAACTAGTGGCAAGTGGCTTTATTTGCTGAACCCCAAGCATTTGACAAATCAGCGACAAATGGCATTATTTGCCGATCACCAAACACTTGTGAAAATTTGTAAAAGAACTAGTGGCAAGTGGCTCTATTTGCTAAACGCCAAGCATTTAACTAAGTCGGTGGCGAATGGCATTATTTGCCTATCGCCAAACACTTGTGAAAATTTGTTAAAAAACTAGTAGCAAGTGGCTTTATTTGCCGAATGCCGGATACTTGGAAATTCCCAAACAGAAAGAAGAAAGTAAAAAGCAAAATAAAATCCAAGCATCCCGTTATCATTCATCAAAACACAAAACGGGTGTTCACATTACAAAATCAACCCAAAAAGAAAGAAAATAAGCCCTAGACAGTCAAATTGCCCTCCTGAGCATACTCCATATCATCTTGAGGATCATCTCCACGAGAGGGAGAATCCAAATCAACCACATTCTCGGAAGGAGCTAAAGTCTGACCATCAAGTGTCTGACCACCCAGCACCCCAGTCTGTGGATGAGGTGTAGCGTTGAGAGGCTGGACAACCGAGATAGGGGGAATGACCTTAGAAGTGACGATCACCTTGCACTCCCTAAAGACAAGCTCAGCCTTATCAGGAACAGGATCGATGTAAGATCCAAGAGGTTCAATCCAGAGGTCACGATCACAGTCATCTGGATTCTGATAGGACCTCCTCTATCCTTTTGGAAGGGAGCAATCTGTGAATCCATCTCTGTACCCCTGAGCATACGCATAAGAGAAGTGAGCGTGAAGAGCTTTGACACCACCCTCAACCCTGCTCGTCACACCAAGGAGGGCAGTACGATCGTCAGAAGCCTTCTTATCCATAGCAGACCGAGCGCCCCGCTCGTCTTCTAGAGGAGCTCCTTGGAGGCTATCTTTCTCTTTCTTAAGGCCAGAATGCTTGAGCTCTGATTCTCTCAGTTCTGTCTTGGCATTCTTCATGTCAACAGATAACTTCTTATAGCCTGAAGAGAGAGTGATCACCTTTTGATTGGCTATCTCAAGAGCCCTCTGCATAGTGACCATCTTGAACTGTGTATGTATGGAAATGAGGGGCATCTATCACACTCAGTGTAAACAAAGTAAAACTGAAGCAATTAAAGAAAGGAAATGAAAACATCAAGAGCAAAGTTACCTCCATAGCCTAAACAGAAAACCGTGTAAACATCTCTGTTCGCGACATCACTCTCTGCACCTGTACGTCACGAAGGGACCACACGTGGGAATAGTAGGCCAAAGCGGTTGGTTCGTTCTTGAACATGGTATTGTTGGGAGCATAGCTGTTATAGGCTTAAGGCGCACTAAGGCACCAAAGGCCTTTTGGAGCCTAAGCGCAAGGCCCGGTATAAGGCGTCAGCCTGATCGAAGCAAGGCATATGTATATAATAATACATATTTAAACATATATTATTATATATATTCATAATTATGCAGTAATTGCAGTTAATGTAAGAAGTGAACCATAAATTTATGAATTTTGTCAAAAATTTCATAAGGTTAAACAATATGATATATGATATAGAACTTTAATTTATTAGTCATTAAGTAAAAAAAGAAAATGATATGAATAAATGATTAAAAAATACAAGGCGTGCCTTTTTTAAGCCTAGAGCCTACTAAAAAGCATGAGCCCGAGGGCTTTATGTGAACCTGATTGAGGGAGCCTGGTCTGTAGTGGGTTGAGGCGCTTTAGCTGAGCCTAGGACTTTTTTGGAGCCTAAGCGCTCCTTTAACATGGAGTGACCAAAGAACCGTCAGACCTGATCATCTTAGGGATCCATGGGGCCACAGTAGAGGGAACGAATGAAGTCCCCTCTGCCCCACCGGTCGCAGCAGCCGAAGCAAGTGTACCAGTCCGAGCGGCCGGATCGGTAGAGCTAGAGGCCATTACTCTGTGGGACAAAGGAACATCATCCAAGTTAGTATCATTGCTCTTCTCAAATGAAAGCCTCTTTCCCTACGCTCTCTCCTGGGCGGACTCCCGAGTTTGGGAGGAGTTGGCAGGGCTGGTAGCAGCAGTAGGATTGAGCCTTGGGGAACTCCTATTTCTCCCGAAAGACGAGACTAGTAACTCATCCATACAGATCCCTTCAAAAGAAATATTGTTAAAAGCTAATGCTATAGTCCAAAAGGTCATATGGGATTTTAATGTAATGGCAAATGAAAGTACAAAAGCGAGGAAGGCAGATTTCACAGATACACTCTCTCCTATGTTTCTTATACTTGATGTACAAAGGGACCGAGCATTCATTAAAGGCGGTAGGGATGGGATAATCTTTAGAGGAATCAACCTGCCAGGGCCCCCTAATGGCTATGATGTTTTTCTTCCAACCCCTTTCAGAATTGGGGTTGCCGGTACAAAACAACCGATTGGGGATAGGGAAGAGATGGTAGTACCCCCTTGTTCTGTCGGATCCTATATATCTTGTAACAAAGCAGAAGGTCTAAAATGTCAAGATTTAGCTCCCTTTCTTGGTTTAAGATCAGAAGGACAGGCATAATCCTAAAGAAATTGGGATTTAACGTCATTGGGGATTTCACACTGGACACGAAGGGTGTCGAGATCAAGAACCATGGTGATAATAACGAAGGATTTCCCCGAAAAGATCGAAAAGTAGAAGAAAAAAAAAAAGGAAAACTTTTGCAGAAACAACAAAAGAACATAACTGAGCATGAAAAACAGAGGAAGAGAGGCGCAGAATAGAAAAGAATGCCGCCGGGAAGATAATTGTTAGCATATATGATATCCACGATTTATGGAATGACTTACCATATTAGCAGAGATTTGATTACGCTATAAATTATGCTTTAGAATATGTTGTGATTTGATTTAGAATTGATTTAGTTTCCTTTCTTGTAATATGAGCATGCGTTTTTTTTATCTATAAATACTAGAGCTGTGAATGAGTGATTAATCTCATTTAAGCCTTTACACAATTGTCTCCTTTTTCTTCTTTTTATATTTCTACTTGGTATCAGAGCCAACACCTTTCCACACCTGTAAGCAGCTTTGTTACTTGTGCAACATCCACCTTAGGCTGTTTGTAACATTGTATGACGTTGCCTATACATGTTTTTTTGTGTTATTGTGTTGTGATTGAAAACAAGAATTTTTAAGTTTTACAATTTCTTTTTTACTCTTTTAGTGTAGGGTAAATTAGGATAGTTGGTCTCCAACACCTAGAAGGGCTTGGGTAAAAATTTATTTAGTCTACAAAGAGGTTCCAGAGATTAAGGAGGAGTCTGTTTGGCTATATGTAAGCGGGCAGCGCTCCTTAAAAAAAGTACGTATTTGAATTTTTCGGGAATGGTCTGAAAAGACATTGTTATTGTTTATTGTCTGAGGAGACCCTTTGATTTATTAACAGAATTTGTGGTGTTTTTGGAGTTTTTTCATTGTTGTGTGACAGATTATGGCATATTCAGGATCCTTGACTGTTAATTCTCTTGGCTCAAGTTATGTGGGTGATGGTGCCATTTTTTTCACCAACTCATCAGAAAATCCAAGACTTCAAATCACCACAGTTAAGTTGAATGGTTCCAACTATTTGATTTGGGTGCAGTCTGCCGAGATGTTCATTGGTGGCAAGATTGGCTATATTACTAGTTTCGAGAAAGAGCCAGCTGAGTCAGAGAAGGCATATCCACAGTGGTTTGCAGATAACGCTATGGTTAAGTTTGACACTGCCATGCTCAAGTTTGGTTTCCATCAAAGTGCAGCTGATCATACCTTGTTTGAGATTAAGGATCTTGGTCCCCTAAGGTACTTCTTGGGCATTGAGTTGGCCCGCTTCAAGGCTGGCATTTTCATCTCTCAACGCAAGTATGTTCTTGACTTGCCTTCTGCTTCTGGTCAGCTTGGTGCTCGTCCTGCTGATACTTCGATTAAGCAGAATCATCGGTTGGTAATTATGAGGGGGAGTTGTTGTTAGATGTTGGTCAGTATCAACGACTTGTGGGGAAGATCATCTATTTATCCATGACTCGACCTGACATTGCTTATGCTGTGAGTGTCGTGAGTCAATTCATGCACTCTCCTTGTACCCCTCACCTTGATGCAGCTATTCGGATCCTTCGCTACTTAAAAGGGTATCCGAGCCGTGGTATTTTGTTTGCCAATCATGGTCACTTACGTGTTGAGGCTTGGACAGATGCTGATTATGCAGGATTAGACAGGAGGTCAACTTCGCGTTATTGTACCACTATTGGTGGTAACTTGGTTACTTGACGTAGTAAGAAGCAGGATGTTGTCTCTCGATCTAGTGTAGAGGTAAGAGTATAGGGCTATGGCTCTTGGGGTATATGAATTGCTATGGTTGAAAACCTTGATGACAAACTTGTGCTTTCCAGTGTCGCTTCTGTTCTCACTCTACTGCGACAAGAAGTCTGCTATTAACATAGCAACAAATCCAGTTCAACATGACAAGACTAAGCATATAGAGGTGGACCGTCACTTCATTCGAGAGAATATCATATCTGGTAAAATTTGCACTCCATTTGTCACAAGCTCTCAGCAGCTTGCAGACATTCTTACAAAGGGCATCAGCAAGATTGTCTTTGAGAATGCATTTTCCAAGTTGGGTGTTTCAGATATCCACGCACCAACTTAAGGGGGAGTGTTAGTATATAAGATATCCACGATTTATGAAATAACTTACCATATTAGCAAAGATTTGATTATGCTATAAAATATGCCATAGAATATGCTTTAAAATAAGTTGCGATGTGATTTAGATTTGATTTAGTTTTCTTTCGTATAATACGAGCATGCGCTCTTTTTATCTATAAATACTAGAGCTGTGAATGAATGATTAATCTCATTTAAGCCTTTACACAATTCTCTCATTTTTCTTCTTTTTATATTTTTACTATAATAAACCCCACACCCTTGTCGGAAAAGTCCTTTTTGATTGTGTCAAAGGAAGTACAAAGTTGAAAGCGAAAAGAGAAAGGAAAGCAGTTGGATTTGTAACAAGCTTATAAAGTGAACCGAGTGCAACAACGAAGCAGCAAAGGGAACCACGTGATGATGACGTCGCAAATTCCAAGACATGGACGTGTGTGCCAACTGTCGAAAAATCCTCTTTGTTTCCTATTTTCTATCTCTTTCCATTCTCATCATTTCTTCTCCTATATAAAGGAGCCACCACCATTGTATTGTGTATGAGTTGAGAGAGTATTATAAAAGTAATGTAGTCCTTTAAGCTCTTTGTCCCATGGATGTAAGCCCTGTTGGCTGAATCACGTAATAGTTCTGTGTTTTTCTCATTTCATTTCTCTCTTCACATATATTTTATGCTTTACAACATGGTATCGGAGCCTAAATTCTCTCTTCTCTCTTGCTGTGACTGCTTAGATACACAAAAACTCTATGGTAGTCAGCCTCATGTGTGCGTTAGTGTAGTAAGGATCTCTTCCTAGGTTTGGACCCCTATTTTTTGGGGTATTCCCTTAGCATCTAAAATGTTGCTAAGGGTTTCTCGGTGCTATATGTGACTTGCCGCCGATGTGTTCAGTAGCATTGTTCTTCGCCATTGCCGTGTCTCCACAGTTTTTATTGACTTGTTTGGGCTTCCGGTGTATGCGGTAGCATTGTTCCGCCTTTGCTGTGTCTCTGAAAATTTTTGTTGTCTTATTTGGGCTGCTGGTGTGTTTGGTAGCATTGTTCTTCACCTTCTCTTCATCATTTGCACTTGCTACTACTCGTCACCTCAATGGCAAGTTGGGCATTCATGCTCCAACTTGAGGGAAAATATTAAAAATTTAATGGAGGAATCAATGGAGGAAAATCCTTCATTGATGTAGTTTCCTATTATTGAAGATTTGATGTTACTAGAGGAATCAGTGGAGAAAAATCATTTTTGTTTCCTACTTTCTATCTCTTTCCATTCTCATCATTTCTTCTCCTATATAGAGGAGCCTCCACAAATGTATTGTGTCTGAGTTGAGAGAGTATTATAAAAGTGATGTAGCTCTTTGGGCTCTTTGTGCAGTGGATGTAGGCCCTAGTGGCTGAATCATGTAATAGTTCTGTGTTTTTCTCGTTTCATTGCTCTCTTCACATATATTTTATGCTTTACAACAGTTTCCTATTTGAGAACACTGATCTAAAAGATCTGGATTTTTTTCTGTTACCAAGTTATTTGTCATATTTTTTTCTCTTTGAAAAGCAAGCTGTGATGGGATCAAGATGGTATTTAAACTCCTTTGGACACTCAAACCCAACTATGTGGTTCTACGACCAACATGCCTTACCAGCTAAGCTAGCTGAAATCTTCCAAGTAACTGGTTATCTTTGCTGCTAAGTAAACCATTCCCATCGGAATAAATCAAATAAGAGAAATCTGAACTCACCCAAGTCCTTTTTTGGACCAAGCAGCTTCATAGACTCCACTTGCAGTTTGAAATGCCATTTCCACCATGTCCTCATGAATCATACCTGCAGCGACAGCATATGTAACTCCGGCCCATATTTCCCTTGACTGCACTGATGACATGTCAGGTTTTCCATCAGGCAGCATCCCGTTCACAGCCCCCCGTCTCCCATCCTTCACCTTTAAGACATTGAAATTATAAACCTTTTCAAGTGCAATTTTCACTTTTTCTTCATCAACAATTGGTAGGAGACCACAAGCTCGAGCATACCTACAAAGCACCTCATTAAATGAGTACAAGTATATAACAATTTTCTTCAATACAACCAAAATACAGTTTATACATACTGACCAATGAAGTAAAGATTGCCCATCTCTCTCTCTCTCTCACTCTCTTTATCCCCACACATACACATTTGTGCATTTATGTATATATACATACGAATATATACATATAGGTCTATGATAAGTTCAGCGGTAGCATGGGAACTAACTAGTCAATGATGACATGGAGAAACTTGAGCATCATTGATTAGCATTTCAGAAGTACTTTTCTTTCTTTTGAAAAGAAAAAAATAAAATAAAGCAAATTCCGCTTTACGATCAAGAGAAGTACTTCGGAAACACCAACAAATAACAAAAAATCCAATAGAAGCACCTTTAGTTTCATCTCATTGTTTCTCCGAATCACCTTGAATCAATTGATATTAAGACATATAAAGAAGTTACTCTATTGCAACAGACCATTGCCCAGCCAGCTGATCCGCTTGAATGGATGAACTCGAACAACCACCACTACTGTCATAGTTAAAGTAAGAACCATTCCATAGCTTCTCATATACAGTCTTTGCCTTCTGAAACTTAAACCAAAAGTAATCCTCAGACCCCTTGTCTCCAACTACATTTGCCATAGCTGAAGCAGCCTGCAATGCTGCCACCCATAGCCCACCACAGTACGCACTCACACCAGAGACAGACCATGTATCATATGTCTGATCAGGAAAGCCGTCATTTTCTATCATCCCATCCCCATCCCTATCAAACTGGTCCATAAAAGCCATTGCAACATAAACTGAAGGCCAAACAGCTTGTGCAAATTTCTTATCACCTGTGGCAACCACGTCCCTGTAGACTTGCAGAACAAATTTTGGATTCAAATCTTTCCACCTATCTGTATTATAAACACAATATGAATTTACTTCAAACCATGGGTCATCCATTCCAATATCATGAGGAACAGCACCAAGAACTTTCCGTGAGGCCCATGTTCCAGTATGTAGAAGTTTCATCTTCCTCGGATCATGCATCATTACCGCTGCAGCAAAGTCTCTTTGGATGCTGAGTTCCAGTTGTGGGAATAGCATAGTTAGTGCAAAAGATGCGTAAAAATGAACATCATATGTGTTCCACATGTTATACTCAATCCCTTCAAAGTAGAGGAATTGACCAATGTTTTCCTCTCCCTTTTGAAGCAGATTTGTTCCAAAAGCAGAATTTAGTGATATCGGAGTGTACACCTCCTCAAGTATTGAAGTCACCCTTTCAAGAATTTCAACAGAAGTTTCATTTTGACGGAATACATTGATAGTGTTTTTAACATCTAAATTGGACCTATCAAGAGAAAACTTTCTTTCAGCAATGGTTGCTAAACTGTGTGCTGGAGGTGATCCGTCTGTAAACGGGAAAAAGAATAAACTCAGATTCACATAATTTGGACTATTGAGAGTGAGTTAGTATATTCACAAGTACCTGTCCAAACTGTTCCCCCTGAATTAAGATAGTAGAGCTCATTGAAGAGAGTGATTGGGTACCTGCAAATGAATCATGGAAAATTTGTAATCTGACTGTATATGTAGTTGGCAACTTAGCAATTGAATCATCCAAGCTCACCATTCCGGAAGCCTCCTGTCTTCAAGAACAGGCCTTTGCCAAGCTTCTATCTGGGACTCCCAATGACTGTGCTCTATGTTTCAGAGATGAAGAACGAGGACTTTACTAACTGATATTTTAAGAAAGAAAATCCTAATAAAACAATTCATGAATGCAGTGATGCTAAAGCAAATGAACCAAATTTAGAATCCACATCTTGTATCCAACTTGAAATAATTGGAACCCGAAAATCAATACCCTTTTTAGTCCAAACTGAAACATCCAATGAAGGAGGCTAAAAAACATTACCAAGAATAGCATCATGCGCAATATTTGCTGCAGCATCCCCATGAGTACCATAAAATTTGGTGTAACGCCTGTCAAAAAAATTGTTTTTCAGAAAAAAAAAGAAAAAAGAAAAAGAAAAAGAAAAAAGGCATGATGTTTTAATCTGTAGTTTTGATCAGACAAGCTTATGGCAACCTACCTGTGATAAGTCCTTCCACTCGTAAAGTTTACTTGAGGGCCGTCCCATGCCAATGAAAATGTGACAGTCTGTACTGCATCTGATGGAATTGTTAGAGAAGCTGCAATGGCTGCCCCAACAGAAGATCCTGGTTCTGAAGGCATTGACATTTCAGTGGAATTGTGGCGATCAAAGGATCCATGCTATTAGAACAGAAGTACAGATCAAAGTCTGTGGAGAATAATGATAAAATAAACGTATAGGCAGAAAAGTACAGACAGACTAACAAATAACTTGTGCTATGTGTGTTTTTACACTAATATAAAATTAAAAAAAATATATCATTTTCATATGCGAATAAAACCTATCAAGTACAGACACTTCCCTTTGACATATGAGCAGGGACTTAAAAAAAAAAACACGCAGCTTAAACTAAAATAAGAAAAAGAAAAAGCAAACTAAATAAAATGCAATCTCAAAATTGTAAATTAAAATCCAGCAGAAATCAGTGGCTTGTCGGTTTAAAAGTTAACAACATATAATTTCAAGGGTCATCAATTTCCACATGGCATCACAAAATGTAGCTTCCAATCAAAGAACATTCTCAACAAAATCTAGGCCGGTTTGTCAGGGGGAAGTTACTCAAAGTATAGTAGCCCTGATAAAAAACAGAAAACTGAAAAACATTCTACTTATTAACTTAGCCTTTGTTAAAACTTTTTGTATTTAGGTTCACTCATTCCTAGCATATTCAACTAGCACAGTCCAACAAATCCCCGTCTAGTGTACTTGTAATGGAACCCCAAAAATGCTAAAGTATATGAGCCAGAACATGTTACTGGATTGGGAATAAGCATCTTTTCACTTTGACTTTACCCTGGAGTAAACATATTAGAAACAGGAATTTCATCCTATTTCAAACTGGAGGTAAGATGCCAAAAGCAGGCTGGGAGTAAAATGCTCAGTCCACACACTAGCTAGATCCCAATTGCACTCATCTTAAATCTTGATTTCACTATGGTCTTTAAGGATTTCGCAACATTTAATACTTCAACCAGAGCCTAAGATCTGCGGTCACTTACAAGAAGCTTACTGTTGAAGGATTTAGATATTAAAGTTACACCCTCTCTAACAGCTTAAGCTTTTAGTGTAGATGGTTGATAACATGGTATCAGAGACAAAGGTCTCGAGTTCAAACCTCACCGTCACCCTAATTAAAAATTGAAAAACACGTGTTGGACCAAAAGAAGGCACCACGTGAGGGAGCGTGTTGAAGGATTTAGATATTAAAGTTACACCCTCTCTAACAGCTTAAGCTTTTATAGAATAGATGGTTGTTAACACTTACAATAAGGAGCCGCATCCAGGTCGGACGTGTGTCAAATGCTGTCACTTTTTAAAGGCTCATTGATATGTGTTGTTAGACAGCCCTAAGATTTAGGCTTGATATTAGCTTGTATATTTGCATATCTTCTGTCAAATATATATATATATATATATATATTTTCCTTAAATCAGATGATTCCATTCAAAATATAAAGAATTTTTTTTTTTTTTTTTTTTTTTTTTTTTTTTTTTTTTTCCCATCTTTTTTCAAGAACCACCAAAATTTCCAACTAAATGATGAAATTTACAATGGAAGAAGAGAGGGCATAGCCAAAAAAATAACACAAAAAGTACATCATTGAAAAAGACCATTTCTAGTAAGGCTGGAACCCCAACCTAGAAAGGAAAATCAGCTGTTTAAGGATAATGTGCAAGATCATCAATAGAAGGGATAGCAGCAACATCCATGACCTCAAAGCAAACAGCCCTAGCAATATCCACAGCACTCCTTCTGGACACTTGATGCATTCTCACAATCCTCTCCCGGGCCCATACAGTAGTAGAGAGAACCATAGCAAACAGCTTGCTGGACACCTGTGGAGGGAAAAATCTCCCCTCCAATAGGCATTTGCCATGTCAGAAAGTAAGTAATGATCGATGGATCACCAGGTCAAGGCCCAATGATGAGGCCCAGAATGCTTGTAATTTAGGATCAACCCAGCAACTGTTCATTGAATCTTAATGCATACACCTGTCCATCCCATAAGCGAAGGTCCGAAGTCTGGCCCATAAGAACACCGAATCCCATGTGGAAAAGTAGTCATAGTTACTATAATTCTTTTATGTAACCGAAGCAGGAAAAGAGGCTGAAACAAAACCAAGAAACTGGTAAACATAACGAAAGAGTAATACTTGACAGGGCACACAACCAGAGCAGCTAGAATGAAGGGAGGGGAGTCCTTCGATACCTATCATGACAAACTTCCGAGGAATGGGGAATTCGCTGGATAGAGGCACATGCCAGTTCCCCCTTACGAAAATCATCTTCTCCTTCCATCTGTTTTCAGAAGAGGGAAGGCCAATACATATCCTTTGACTGGAATTTGAGGGAGAGAAATAGTGTCTACCTATTTCGCCCTGGCGCCTACAGATTTTATAGCTAACCAAGAGGTAGACGAAATTGAGTTCAGTTTTCTCCAACTTCCTGCGAACTAAAAGAGAAGACACAATCCGGAAGAAGTTATTCACTTGAAGAGGCGCTGATGTAGAGCAAGTGGAAGAAGACTATTTTCAAATAGTTGAACACTCTAAGAAGACATGACCGAATTTCCATAAATAGACTGAGTTTCCATAAATAGAGCAGCTGATGATGAGTCCGATTATGTGATTGTTTTCAGTCTTGAGTCATTTATAAGTCTTTAATCTGCTTTATTTCATGCTTAGGATATTATTGTCATTTAGTTTTAATTATAAGTCAAATGACTTTTAAGTGAGTCATGTGACTGTTTAAGGTTTGTTTTGTAATTTTTAGCTCTTTATTCTGCTGGAGAGAATACTAGCCTTAAGATTACATTTATTTGAAGGGTTAAGATTATATCTTTGCTAGGGCATCCCTTGTGGCTTATAAAAGGGTTGTTCCAAGTTGTAATGAGCGGCCTTTTATGTATTATCAAGAATATCAGCTAGCTACAACAGCTGTTTATCTCTCCCCTTCTTTGGGATTGAATTGTGGGTGTTTAAGCTATTCGTTCGCTTAATCTTGCTCTCTGTTTTCACTTCTTAGTGATTTATTTCTCTCTTTCATAAGCTGATTGCATTAGTTGGTATCAGAGCAAGTTATGGTCCATTGGTTTTGTGTAGGGTTATCAGATTTCTCTCTAAGGTTTTGCAACATTCCACCAAGAAGAAGAAACCCACCTCACAGACCTGCCGTTCGGCCTGATCAGGACACAGCAGTTGATAAACAACAAGTGCTTGCTGTGATAGAAGATCTAAGAAGGCAGATTGAAGCTTTAGCCCTGCGCGTTGTGCAAGCCCCAGCCCCTTCTCAAGATGGCGTCGAATCTGAGGGGGAGGACAATTTGGAAGAGGAATTTGTTAATCCTTTTCGCAGAAACGCAGCACCAAGACCATCACCTTTTCCATATGAAGAAAGGCGTTGGGATGGTGGTTTTAAGGTGGAAATTCCAGAATTTGTAGGAGATCTGAATGGAGAAGGTTTCGTTGATTGGTTAACCACTGTGGAAAGAATCTTTGACCTGAAGGATGTACCTAAGGACAAAAAGGTGACATTGGTTGCTGTGAAATCAACTCAGTGGGATCAGTTCATTATGGCACGACAAAGGCAAGGAAAGCCCAACATTGTTGATTAGGAAAAGATGTGAAAGAAGCTAAGGGAGACTTTTCTTCCTTACAACTATACCCATTCAATGTTTCAAAGGCTGCATAATTGTCGTCAAGGAAGCATGACTGTTGACGATTACACGGAGGAATTCTTTGGACTTGTTCTCAGGAATGAGTTAAATGAAAGTGAGGAGCAAAAGGTTGCACGGTATATAGGATCGAGCTACAACTTTTAGGGGGCAATCTCAAAGTGGCAGCAATGCAGCCCCTCAATCACAGCCAGGTGGTGGAGCAACTGTTGCTAAATTGCAGCCTAATGGAGCAGGATTTAAATGCTTTAATTGTGGAGACCTGGACACAAGTCGGCTGAATGTCGAAAAGCAAATAGTCGTAAAGGAAAGCAGCTTCTTATGGAAGAATGTGGAGAAGAAGAACCACAAGAAGAAGAAGAACCTATTTATTATGATGATGAGGAGGATGCTGCTGTTGTTAGAGCAGACACGGAGCTGTCTCTCATGATGCGAAAGGCCTTTATAGCACCACCACACAAAGATCCTGAGGATTGGCCGCAACATAATATTTACCAAACTACTTGTACCATTGGTGTTTGCAAGTTGATTATAGATAGCGAAAGATGTGAAAACATCTCAAGAAGCGGTGACGAAGTTAAAGCTATCGGTGGAAGCGCATTCTCAACCTTACAAACTTTCTTGGTTCAAGAAAGGCAATGAGATATCCATCACTAAACAATGCTTAGTTAATTTATCTATTGGTAGTAGGTACTTTGATAAAGTATGGTGCGATGTTGTGGCAATGGATGCATGCCATGTCTTGTTTGGCCAACCTTGGCAATTTGATAATAAAGTGCAACATGATGGCTGCAAAAACACTTAATACTTTTTATAAAGAGAGAAAAAAATAATATTTGTTCCATCTAAAGACGAAGAAGTTACACCTAAACCTAATCTGGGCGAGGGTATTAATTTACTCTCTATGGCCAATTTTTGAGGAGGAATTGGTAGAGAGTGGCGTGGTATATGTTTTAATTGGTAAAGAGAAGCTTGCAGGAAAAAAAAGTCCAGCTACTGTTCATCCACTTTTAGAGGAGTTTGCTAATGTTATGCCACAAAATTTACCCCATGGATTACCTCCCATGAGGGACATCCAACACCACATTGATCTAATGCCCGGAGCTACTTTACCTAATAAGCCACATTACCAAATGAGCCCTAAAGAGCATGATGAGCTTAATGGGTAGGTTTCAGACTTACTGGAGATGGGTTATGTGCGTGAAAGTATGAGTCCATGTGTTGTACCAGCTTTATTGGTACCAAAGAAAGATGGGAGTTGGAGAATGTGTATTGATAGTAGAGCCATCAACAAAATTACTGTCAAATACAGATTTCCCATCCCTCGGCTAGAAGACATGCTAGATCATCTTTCGGGAGCAAAAGTGTACTCAAAGATTAACCTCAAAAGTGGATACCACCAGATTAGAATTCGCCCTGGAGATGAATGGAAGACAGCTTACAAA